CCAGCCTGTAAGAAGAGGTGCAGGGAGGAGGGGGAGGGGCTGAAGAGGAGGAGGAGAACAGGAGGAGGCTGGAAGGAGAACAGAGATCCAGGAGAACTGCAGAGGAACAGTAGAACCCAGAACCTGAGGAAAGAACGGTGAGAACAGGAGAACTGATCAAATCAATGACTGATCGTTGATCAATAACTAATGATTCAGACTTCTATCACTCTCTCTGTAGGTTTCCACAGACTGGAACCAGAACCAGGACCAAAGTCAGGACTGCATCTGAGTTTAGACCTAGATCTGGATTTGGGTCTGGAGGTGAGCTCCAGTCTAGTAGACCTGAGGTCAGAGTGGCCCTGATCAAGAAGACCAGGATCCAGACCAGGATCCAGACCGTGGAGCCCAGAGCGTCAGAACTGGTTCAGGGTTTAATCCTCACAGACCAGACTGATCCAGAATTCACAGAGACTTGGCCGAACCGGAGGAGACCAACACAGGACCGATGGACCAGAACCACAGGGTCCACATCTGAGGTTTGTTAAACATACAGACAGGGACTCTGATCCTGATCCTTAACCAGATACTGATCTGTCTGGTCTGCTCCAGGTCAGGTCCAGGTCTACAGCAGACCCTCAGAAGACTCAAGGTCTGGTCTCAGAGCAGTCCTCAGAGTCCAGGACCAGCAACAGGAGCAGGTATGAGAGAGTCCTGGATCCAGAGCCCCCGACAGGAGAGAGGGGGGCACCCACAACCAGGTCCAGGTCTGTGGAGAGGAAAACTGAGATCAGGACCAGGAGGAGGAGGAAGATCCACCCATCTGTGTTCAGAGGGAGAGGTACAATCAATCAATCCATCCATCCATCCATCCATCCATCCATCCACTGGTCAGATAAGATTGACCAGTTATTTCCTGTTAGAATGAACCAGTTTATAACTGGTCACTAACCAATAAATCACTGGTTTAAATTCATTGGTTGAATGTCAATCATCTCTCTCTCTCTATAGGTCAGTTGCGGTTGTCAATCACTGCAGAGGCGAGACAGCTCATCATTCACAGTAAGTGCTGCAGCAGCCAATAAGAGAAGAGCTTTAACACATCACATGATCACAGCACAGACTCATGTCAGCAGGATTTATTGATCATAATCAGTAGCTGATTCAAGTCAGTGATCAAACAGTAATCTTGTTATGTGTGTTTAATCAATAAGATATCATAATCTAATCAATAATCTGATGTCTCCTTGTCTCCTCTTCTCCTCCTTCTTCGGTGAAACTCCTTCTCTCTCTTCAGTCCATGAGGCTCGGGAGCTGATGGGAAAATGCCAGAGGTCATGTGACTCGTATGTGAAGGTAAAGACACATGATGATGATGAGGACTCTGAGGACCTGTGAGGACTCTGAGGAACTCTGAGGACTCTGATGACTCTCAGGGCTTGTGAGAACTCTGAGGACCTGTGAGGACTCTCAGGACCTGTGAGGACTCTCAGGACTTGTGAGGACTCTCAGGACCTCTGAGGACTGTCAGGACCTGTGAGGACTGTCAGGACCTGTGAGGACTCTCAGGACCTCTGAGGACTGTCAGGACCTGTGAGGACTCTCAGGACTTGTGAGGACTCTGAGGACCTGTGAGGACTCTCAGGACTTGTGAGGACTCTCAGGACTCTGAGGACCTGTGAGGACTCTCAGGGACTCTCAGGACCTGTGAGGACTCTGAGGAACTCTGAGGACTCTGATGACTCTCAGAACTTGTGAGGACTGAGGACCTGTGAGGACTCTCAGGACTTGTGAGGACTCTGAGGACTCTCAGGACCTCTGAGAACTCTGAGGACCTGTGAGGACTCTGAGGACCTGTGAGGACTCTCAGGACTTGTGAGGACTCTGAGGACCTCTGAGAACTCTGAGGACCTGTGAGGACTCTGAGGACCTGTGAGGACTCTCATGACTTGTGAGGACTCTGAGGACCTGTGAGGACTCTGAGGACCTTTGAGGACTGAGGTCTCGATCGGGGTCTCCACAGAGACAATAAAACAGGTTTGTATTTGTTTTCAGGTGTCAGTGACCTCTGACCTCAGGATGAAGACTCCACCTGTTCTGAACAACAAGAACCCTCACTACAACCACATCTTCACCCTGTGAGACACACGTCAATGAATTGTACCATAAAACATGTTCATTATTATGATGTCATCACAGTCCAGTTTTCATATTTGTGTGTGTGTGTGTGTGTGTGTCTCTGTCTGTGTGTGTGTGTGTGTCTCTGTTTCCGTGTGTGTGTGTGTGTGTGTGTGTGTGTGTTTCAGGTATCTCAGGGATGACCTCCTCCTCCACAGGTTGTTGTTTTCAGTGTTCAGAAGACGGACTGACAGCAGGTCAGTGAACACATCATTCATTTCCTGTTTGTCCGTCATGAAAATGAGTCCCTCTTCTGACTACTCAGACTGTAAAGGCCAAGCCCCTCCCCAACTGAACAACTTCATCACATCGATGCACTAATGAAAGAAATATCACATGATCATAAAATAGTCTGAGGCCACACCCCCTTGTCTCACCTGTCTCTGTCTCTGCCCCCTCAGGCGTAGTCAGCTGATTGGCTGTATGAGCTTTGGGATTGGTTCTGTTGTCTCGTCCTCTAAGGTGAGTTTGACCCAATCAGTTGTCACAGAGTCCTGGACTCTGATTGGCTGGAATGAGCATGCATGAATTTATCATATTGGCCACACCCCCCTCTGTGTTGCAGCTTCTCACTGGTTGGTTCTACCTGCTGGGGGAGGGGTTTGGCTGGAGTAAATACCTGAGGGTAACATCACAGCAGAGGCAAGAGGGGGAGGAGCCAGAGGAGAGACTGACTCACTGTGGTGAGTTCAAGCTAAAGATGCTAACAGGCTAACAACTGTTTTATCTTGTAACTAGTGACATCATCACTAGCATGCTGTTAGCTTCTTTAGCACTGACAGAAACCCTCAGGACTAACATGCACACACACACACATACACACACACACACACACACACACACACACACACACACTGTCCCATATGTAAATCTATATGTTTATCTATTTACGGTGATGGGATAGAGGGGCGAGCGAGCAGTTGTAGATGATTAAAAGTGACTCCTGCTCGTTCTCTCTCTCTTTCTCTCTCTCTCTCCCCGGGGGTCCACACGGTTACCATGGTGATGAGAAGCTGCCTGGTAACCATGTGACCCTCACAATACCTCCCTCAATCCCCCCTCACCCATCTTTTACTCCATCTATCTCCATTCCCCCCCCCCCCCCCCACACACACACACACACACACACACACTGAGACCTGACACTCGTTCGCCCTGGCCGACAGACAGAGAGAGAGAGAGGGGAGCAGTAACATCTGCAGAGCTCAGACTCAGAACCAGTCTGCAGTCCTCAGACTGCATCCAGGACCTGAGGAGGACTCCACAGACCAGGTCTGACCTGAACCAGTCTGGACCTCATGTACAGAGAACACAGTCTGGTTCAGATCCTGAATGGACCCTGATCCACTTTCTGCTGAGACCATGACACTGTTTGTTTTCTGAAGGTCTCTGACTCAGGGGTCAGTCTGGATCCAGGTCTCTCAGAGTCAGGGACCTGTAGGATCTGATACAGAATCACCGTCTCTTGGTCTGGTCTGATCTGGTCAGGACTGGTTTGGTCTGGTCCGGTCCCTCCTGGTTCAGTCTGAGGACAGGATGTTCTGGAGGAATGTGGTCTGGTCTTGGGATGATGATGATGATGATGGTGGTTCTCTGCTCGCAGCAGACCTCAGGAGGACTCCAGACTCTGCCCCAGATACTGACCTGAACACTGTCATCTCCACCGCCTCCACTGCTGGACTCAAAGACCGACCCAGCCAGAACCGGACCTCCCGGCAACCCCTCAGCCTTGGTCCAACCAGCACCACCTCAGTCCCCGTCCTCTACACCAGCACCACCCAGCGAGTGTCCAGAGATGGCAGCAGCTCCCAGAGACCCACGGTAAGTCCAGGTCACATGACACAAACACACAGAGGACATAGGTTGGACCAGGACCTGGTCCCACACCGACTCACCCAGACTCAGGACTCCAGCAGTTTTTGAACAGCTGTACTGAACTTTAACACAGATGAGATGTGTATGTGTTTCTCTTTAAAGCTTCATCAAAGATTCACATGTGATGAATTATAGAGGGAAGATGCTTCACAGTATATGACACACACACACACACACACACACACACACACACACACACACACACACACACACACACACACACACACACACACGTGTCCCTTAGCCCCTACAGAACCTTAAACCTGATTTTAATCTGAACCCTCAGACCTGGTACCCCCTAAATGGTCTAAATCAGATGGTCCTCACAGAGATAGGGGTCCAGGACTACATGTGGATCTGGGTTAGTGGGGGGGTGGGGTCTCTGCTGGTCGCAGTGAAGCAGCTCTGCAGGCACATGTGACGATCTGTGGTCACATGATGACTGCGTTGTATTCGTTAACATGGTGACCGCAGAAGTGAAGTTTAATTAGCTGGACAACTCACAGCTCCAAGCTGGTCAGCCAATCAGAGGAGAGGTGTCTTCTGATTGGCTGAATCTCTCTGAGTGACGCACCAGGCAACAAACAGGTGACAGGTCCAGGTCTACAGATCAGGGCTGTGTAGTGCAACTCCAGAGTCACAGTATGAAACAGTAAAAACATTCACACGGGGGGAAGTGTGTGTGTGTGTGTGTGTGTGTTCAGGAAGTGCGTGTCTTATCACGCGGATACATCCACTGTTTTTGTGTGTGTGTGTGTGTGTGTGTGTTCAGGAAGTGTGTGTCTTATCACAGGGATACATCCAGTGTTTTTGTGTGTGTGTGTGTTTCCTGCTATTCTTCAGTCTGTAGGTTCCCACACACACACACACACACACACACACACACACACACACACACACACACAAACACACACACACTCTATTCTCCACATCCAGATTAGGATGAAAACTCACACACAGTAGTCCACCTGAACCAGCTGGACCTGGGTCAGACCTGGTCCCTGTTCTGTGAATCTTTGTGATTTCTTTTGGTCTTTCTCTGACCTGGTTTCCTGACGCCTCAGAGGTCTGAACATCTGGTTTGATCCGTGTGGATCAGCTCAGACTTGGGTCTGGTCCTATAAATCTGGACTTGGTTCCAACCTGTTCCTGGTTCTGGACTTGGATTATATCTGGTTCTGTTTTTTGTGATATCTCGACCTTGGTTAGACGTGGATTCTGGACCTGTTTTAAACCGGTAAGCGTGTCAGACCCTGGTCCTGGTCCTGGTCCTGGTGCAGCCCTGCAGGAGGATCAGATCTGTGGTCATGCACACCATCCACCGACTGTGTCGAGTCTGCATTGGACAGAACCTGCCTCAGGTGTGTGTGTGTGTGTGTGTGTGTGTGTGTGTGTGTCATATTTAACCTCAATTGGATCATTAAATCAAAGCTGGTCCTGATTGTTTGAGTTAGTCACATCCAGGTTGAGTTAGAATTAACAATTTTTTTGGAGTCTGGTGTGACAGACTGTCAAGGTACTGCTTAGATTCACACACACACACACACACACACACACACACACACACACACACACACACACACACACACAGTTAATATGGAAACAAATCAGCAGGAAACAAGAGGCTTGTCTGATTGGCTGCACCATGTGGTGTCACTGCTGCCTGTTTGTCATTTCCAGGCAAAGCCTCCAGAGTTTCCTGTGTGTGTGTGTGTGTGTGTGTGTGTGTGTGTGTGTGTGTCTCTATGTTAAACAAAAACATAATCTCTTCAGCTTGTCTCCATGTTCATGTGATTTTCACCATGTTAAACTGGACTGTTTCAGTTCTGCTTTGGCTCTGTCTTGGTTCTGTCAATGATGGGATGTGTCTACTTCCTGTGCAGCCATGAAAGAGGGACTTAGACTTACTTCCTGATCAGAAATGAGGGGGTGTGGCTAAAACCAGTTTTTAACAACCTTTCACAACATTTTACATGAAGCTTCATGATTTCAAATAAATGTCACTGAAAAATGAGTGTCAAGTCTGGCTGAGGAGGACCAACCAGGACCAGGATTCTGAACCAGGGCCAGGACAGTAAACATGGTCTCATGGAGTGTGGAATAGTCAGGACCGATCCTGCAGAGAAACACAAACATAGAGTCTGTGTCCTGTTTAAACAACCCCCCCCCCCCCCCCCCCCACCCCTCACCCACCCCCAAGGTGTCTGAGTCCCTGCGGGAGTTTTAATATCAGCCTGTCAGTCTGGACTCAGGGACATTTAACTTCTTTTGTGGAGCGAAAAGTCTCAGGACAAGTCAACCTTTCCTCCGGTCAGTCACTGTTTACAGAGGAGACATGGAAACAGCTCAAAGACCAGGACCAGACCTCCAGTCTGGGTCTGACACAAACATCCTGACTCAGTCCACACATGACTAAAGACCAGCAGAGTCCAGAACCAGCGCCCCCTACAGGCTGAAACCTGTACCACACAATTAAGACTCAGTGATCTCTGGGGGTTTACTGTGTGAGTCACTGTATCATCAGTTATTGATTGAGTGTATTTTTGCTTTGGTTGACTGATTAATACATAAGCTACTGCCAGATACTGAACCCTGTTTAAAATGCTATATAATAAGATATGATTTAGTGCAGTCTGTTGTTAACCTGGACCATCATTATAACGGACTGTATTAATTATTATTTGTATGAATATGTGACACTGAGACTAGAAGAGTTCTGAGGCGCCACCATCAGGACAAACTAAACATATTAATAAGAATGAGGTCTTTATAAATCCTTATAAGAAGCTTATTAACATTACTACAGTTAATAACAGCATCATTGCATCATTAACACTGTTGACATTCATAGAAAGTTAGACGTAGACATAATAATAAAAGCCTCATGGGTATAATCATTTATAAACATAATCAATGAGTTTAACAAACTTATTGTGTCATTGTTGAACCTTCACTAAGTTTTTTATCAAGATTAATAAATACTTTTTTATGTATTTATTCTTCTTCAGTTCTTTCTCGATTCTGTGTTGGTTCTGTTTAAGCAGCTCTGTGGAAAAAGAGTTTTTACCTTCATCACAATCACATTAATGTTAATGCAGTTACATGTGGCCACAGAGAGAGCCTCAGTGTATTTGTGTGTGCGCATGTGTGTTCAGGAGACATGATGTTGGATTGAACAAATGTGTGATAGGCCACGCCCACATGTACCAATCAATATGGCTCTTCAGATTCTGGTTAAAACTGGTCTCCACAGTGTTCAGGTTCTGATGTCACATGTTTGGTATTTTTTGGCGCCCCCTGTAGGTTGGGCTCAAAGTACTTCAGTAGACCTCTACCCAAACACAGCCTCAAGACATGTACCCAGAATTATGATGATTGGACAAATGGTTACTGGGTTATGGCCATTTTCCTGCTAAGCCCCACCCCTTGTGAAGTTTATTTATCAATATCTTAAAAACTAAATAAGAGATCAATAAGTTTATAGAACCTTTGATTAGCTATAAGCTATTTGTACATTTTGCAATTGCTACATCACTAACATTAGCATTAACAGCTGTTTACTTACCAGTCTCACCAAGAGCTGCAGCCATTTTGTTTATAATACAGCATGCTTACTTTAGTAGACAGACAGGAGCTAGCTGGTTAGCATGCTTAGTTTAGTAGAGTTAACATAGGTGTTTGTTTCCACCTCTGGAGGCAGCTGTTGATGAGTAAAGGAATGAAGTTTCTTCTGGTCAGGAAACAGCCACTAATGCTAATGTTAGCTATGTAGCAGTAGCAGAACTGACAAGTAGCTCCTTCAGTGTAATCAGCAACATGTGTTCAGAATTACATGTCTGATCCTACACATGTATTCAGCTAACAGGCTAACAGACTTTTTTCTGCAGGTGAGCATCACTCGAGGAAAAGATGGGTTTGGATTTACAATCTGCTCTGATTGTCCCGTCCGAGTCCAGGCTGTTGACCCAGGTAAGACCCTCCCCTGAGATAACAAACACTCACCTGAGATAATACACCTGAGATAGCAAACACACACCTGAGATCACAGGGAGATTTGATTGGTGGTCTGTTCCCTCTGTTTGCAGGTGGTCCGGCTCATCAGTCTGGACTCCGTCCAGGAGACTCAGTTCTGCAGCTGAATGGACTTCCTGTAGAAACCTGGAAATGTGTCGACCTCGCCCACGCCATCAGGTAACCCCGCAAACACACAGTCTGACCCTCCACCTGCTCTGACTGTCTTTTAATGTGTAGGTTCGACTTTTGGTCTCAGCAGGCCTCTGTACTGAATCTGGTCTCAGGGACTCATTTCACAATAAGAGTTTGGTTTCATTTAATAAGTTAAAAAAAATGTTAATATGGTTTCATTTTCGAAAATTACTTTGATCTTATGATACATGTCTGTCTCTCTCTGCCTGTCTCTCTCTCTGCCTGTCTTTCTCTTCAGGAGTTGTCCATCTCAGATCATCTTGGTGGTGTGGAGAGGTTTACCTGAGCTCAGATCAGGATGTGAAGCTTTGTGTCGCCCACCAACACACAACACAGTGAGTGAATAACAGTTTTTTCATTTACACATGAATCATGTGATCAACTTAAATCACACACACACACACACACACACACACACACACACACACACACACACACACACACACACACA